ATGAGATAAGTAGTGTGGATCGGCAATTGGTCGGGCGTGTGGGATAGGAAAAGGAAGAATAAAAATAGAATAGAAAAAAGTGGAGCCGTTTAAGTAGAATGAAATAATCGAGGTAAAAGCAACTAGTTTTGTCAAATATCGTTTAAACTTTATTAATAAATGAATTTAGAAAAAAAAGATTTCTCGCTCAGGCTTTCAAAAAAAAAAAAATAATATATTTGATATTCAAGTATTTCGATAAAGAATTCGATAAGAAACGTAGATATTATCTGAAATTGATCGATGCCTTACGTTGAAATTCTTATTTATTTGAAAAATTAGAAGAGTCCTGTATTTCTTTCATCGATAAAAATTTTGATTTATGGTTAAAGAAAAAAGAAATACATCGCGATGAATTTTCTCCAAATTTTCCTATTTATAGATTCTAAATAATTGAATTTCGAAACTGCATCGACTAAGCAAATTATCGATGAACAGCGGTTGATGGCATAAATGTCAAAAGTGACGGCAATTGAACTTGCACAACAACGAAAATATTTCCCAATAACACGTCTAGTGTTATTTGTAAATTTCTCGTTCGGTGCATTTTTGTTTTCTTTTTTTTTTTTTTTTTTTTTTTTCTTTTCAACGTTATTTTAGAAATTGAAAATTTCGCATAAATTTTTTAAAAATCGTTTTTTTTTTTTTCAATTTTTTGAAAACGTACACAAAGCGATCGACAATTCGAATGGAATTAAGCATTGAGCATCGTTTCCACAAACGAGAGGAAGAATGTCAACGTTATTAAAATTAAATCCAACGGATAAAAAGAAACAAAATTGACGTTTCCAGCATACTTCTTTGTTCAACTTTTGTTATTCGACTCGTTCCTTTGTTCGACGATATGGGGTATGAAAAACGGGAAAGGGCTTTCCACGCGATTCGAAATGAAAAATCCAGATTGATCATCGCGTATACACGAATAATCGATAGTTGTATCGCGACGAATTAGTTCTCACGTTACGATCAGATACTGTTTTCCAGGTGTATCCATTTCTCCCTCTTCCACCTCCTGTTGTTCGTGACCTGTGTACCACGCCATTCGAGAAAAGGAAGATCGAATGTTTTTCACGTTTGTGCGGGAACTCGAACGCGAACGTGTCTGTCGTGTAATAACGAAAAAACAAGTAAAGTGGCGAAGAGGTAAAGGACGATGCGCCTCTGGGACGAAATTTAATCCGTTGTTCCAGCAACTTTTCGCGGATGAAAAATTTGAAATTTCACGTTTGTTCGTCTAGTGTTTCCTCCATTTTATTTCGAATGGATTCAACGTTGGGATTCGATGTCGTGCAGAGTGTTGCTCGTGAGAAAGAAAGAGAGAGAGAGAGAGAGAGAGAGAGAGAGAGAGAGAGAGAGAGAGAGAGAGAGAGAGAGTAGTAGTAGTAGTAGTAGTAGTAGTAGTAGTAGTAGT